TTACTTTGTTTTAATGTATTTGTATATTGAATGGGGGATTTCCTTTTGGGTTTTTTAAACTCAGTAAAGAGCCCATTTACCAGTTTACTAGGGACAGTGGTTGCAAATTATATGGCGCCAAGGGCACCGCTAGGCCCTGGCACCTGGAGTCTCCAGTATAGTACCCCAGGTCCATTCGATTTGAGTGGTGTCTGTTTGTGTTTATGCAAGTATAACTTGTGTGCTGTTCAACCTCTGGTGTTGGGTAGAAAGAACTTCCTGTCTGATTCTAAGGGCCAAACAGCAGGGAGAGAGACTGTATCTGTATTTAGGGATGATAAATACTCAATGCTCTAGTAGAGAACATGGAGAAAGCAAAGAGAGGGAAACCATAACAGAATGTGAGAACAGAAAAGGACACGAGTTGCCCCTATGCAACTTTTTACTCTAGGTGTACCCAAATGTGCTCTAGGTCTTTTTGGACCTAGCAACACCCCTGCCCGATGCACACGACACCCCTGTGTCTCACAATGCTGGCACCTCCTCCTGGTGTACCAGAAGTATATAAAAGCTTAGAACCTGACATATTGGCTGGCATCAGAAATTTGAGGGAGCAAAAGTTCCCTAGCATTCTGGTTATGGAGCTACCCAACTCTTATGTCAGATGTACTGGTCTGTAATTTGCGGCAGAAAGCTGGCATATAATTTTTTATTTGTAGAAAAATTAAAAGAAAAAAACTAAAACTATAATACATGACATTGTAGGTGACAACAAGCTAAAATCTGTTTTTAAACAGTAAAAATGTATCAGGAAAATGTTGATTTTGCGGTGATAACACTGTAAATTACAAGATTATTAGCTTTAGAAAATGTTTTTATTTTCGTTTTTGATTTCAAAATTTCATTTCGGTGCACCTCTAGTCATAATGTATTAAAGCAAAAATCTGCTCTGTGATTGATTGCTTCCAATACTGATACAGAATGCTACAAAATTAATTCTGTTAATAAATTGTGAGCCTATGATGCATAACAACGCCAGCCCTGGGGGTGTGTCAGTTACAGCAAGGGGCATAGGCTGACACTGGAAGTCATTCAACCCAGAACTGGGACAACAGCCACTGGCAGGAGAGAACACAAGCAACAGCACTGGAGCATGCAACAGATTGGGAGAACAAAAAGAATTGACTTACAATAAAAAAATAAAGCTTGATTTGGTCTTTAAAGCAGTAGACATCAGTATACAAAAGAAAACAATGTTTGTATTTACTTGACATTTGAGGTTTTGTTACCATTGTTTGAGTATAGTAACAAGAGACTATGTTTTATTACAAAAAATCTTTGACCGTAATAGTGCTATTGTAAAGAAGCAAGAATGTGTGCTCCTGTCACAAAATGTTACATTATCCCCTGGTATACAGAAACACAGCAGAAAAAAAGGCATTAATTTAAGATTTGCACAAAATAATTGCATAAGCGGTCACTAGATGGCAGTAATTTCCTACCTCAATTTATTGCCAATCACAGTTCATTTGCATATAAGCCCCTTGTAGTGCATTAAACAGAGAGGACAGCATGTCCATATTTTGGCAGCAGGCTAAATTTAGCATACAAATTAATGAAAAGTCAGAGTCAATAGCAGCAGAAAAATTACTAGTCTTCAACAACACAGTTGAGTACTGTCCATGATACTTCATTTCCACATTTGCAGGACAAGCTTTTGGGGAACTAACCTCCAAGCAGTACTGATACATAAAGCTTGACCTGAAAATCTAACTGTTAGTGCATTAAAAAAAATTATAACGGAGAGTACTCATCTCTACTGTTGCAAGTGCACTAATATGGCTACAATCACCTTAAGCAAGTTGTCATCAACATTCTGGCAATATATTTAGTTCATATGAGGTGTAAAATATACAAGTATATGATTATGCATAACCGTTGCTGGAAAGTGTGGAAGAGTGGAAAAGTATGCTTATATCTGACTGCGTTTTTTAATGAATATGTATTCACCGTGCAGTCTTTTCATACAATTTGCACTTTGAAATTATTGTCTTTTCTAAGTACAGGCCAAAGACAGTTATCCACGGGCCGAGAACACACAAACATTTTCAGCATAATTGCGTGATGATGTCACCATATATAAAGCTGCAACCTTTGTATCTTGGGACTCATGTGTACTAGAGATTGAATTCAATTAATTAGTTTGAGAAGCGTCTTTTACTTTTTTAGTTTATGTTTCACTTTGCATCCGTTACAATATTGGAAAGGCCAATTATGCTGCTTATATATTTATTAACAGAATTTTGTTTCTACCGTAGTGGCAGATCTACTACCTGGTGACATCAAAGAATACCCATTAGGACCAAATGCGTTGGGGCTGCTCTGGCCGCCTTTTCCAGCACAGCCCCAACGCACAGTCAAGGCCATATGCTTTGTTTTAAATTGGCTCAGTGCATGCAGCACTTTTTTTCAACAACCTTATTGCACCGTGCTGTGGCCAATATAACTTAATAAAAGGTCACTTGTGACATTTCTATAAAGGTGTAACAGAAAAAAAAAAAGAGAAAACAGTTCAATGTGATCGACATATTAGCACTGTTACCTCCCAGTGCATCCATGTGTTCACCGCGGCTTGCTGCTGTGAATGGACCTCTGCAGGCAAAACTGTTAGATGGTTTTGTATAGTGTAGCTAAGGGTCAGAACATTTGACTATTTTGTATTGGTTTCTCTGTGTACCCATTGCAGAAATGTATCTCCCTATCCTTATGACAACTCTGTCATTAAAACAGGAAGTGACCCAGACAGCAATAATAATGTGGCACAGGATCAAAACCTTCCCTACTCTGTACCAAAACTTTTGGAGGCAGGTTCACTTAAATGTCTACTAATAGTAGATCTACATCCTGATGATCTATATCCTGATGATCTATATCCTGATGATCCTTACCATGCTACACATAGATCAATTCTATACATTACACTATCGGGGTTATTCACAAAAGGGTGAAGAGTTTGGAGAAGGAAGAAGTGAACAATCTAGGACAACATAGCTGAAACGGAAAGTGAGCTGAATTGGAGAATGTTTCCAAATCAGCTATGTTGTCCTAGATTGTTCACTTCTCCTGCCTTCTCCAAACTCTTCACCCTTTTGTGAATAACCCTGTATTTGTCATACACAAACATCTGCAAAACTAGGACTGCAAAAATGTGCAAGCAAATTGCACATAAACACTATAAATTTGTTCTGACTCAGCTTTTTTTGGCTCCATGTCCCAGTAAAGGAGCAAGAAACCAAACACCTCAACTTCCAGCTAGTGGCTATTGTCCTTCCACAGCTGCTTAAATCCTACACTCTCATAACAATATGTCTTCCTCTGCCCTTTAAAACAGGAAAAAATAGCTAACACTTGATAAAGCAGACACTGATGATAGCAGAGTTCTATTCCTTGCTTTTGTACATGTTCCAATTGCTGCAGATCTGCTGGCGGCGGTATACACATAAACATAAGCAGTGTATGCACAACAAAAAAATAAGATGGTGTGCAGTGACCTATAACACAAGCTAACTGCTAAATAAAAAAAACTGCTGATACCTGATTGGTTGCTGTGGTTTTCAGTAAGCTACGGTGTCTTACACATTATGCTCAGCTTGCGTGTGGAAAATGGCACATTTACATATATTATACATACAGCTGCAAACACGCTATGTCTAAGATGCTGTAAAGATCATACCATTCTAATTTCTCATGCATGCCACACATGGCTCAAATGACTTTGGAATGCATGAGAATGTACTAGTCCTGAATCTTCGTATTATGTGACATTGACATTTGGGGGGGTCTAAGAACAAAGGCACTTTAGCAATTCAGTAGCAGGGCAGGCACACTGACGCTTAACATAACCTAAAAATAAAAGACAACCTTTTTCTTAATACTATTTTCTTGTGTTTAATTCATGGAGTCGTCCTGCAAGGTGAATTATGAAGCAGAACGAGTCGAAGACAAGTCACTAACACTGGTGACCTCTTCTCAACTCATGATTTCTCTGCATGGCGCCATCTCTTGCTGTCACTATAAGCACCGCTTTATCATTTTGGTCACAATGGCTGTGAGCGGTGTGGCTTAGAATACTGATCATTATAAAACAGCACAACATTCATGCATTTAACTGGTTAAATATTTATACTCAGTTGGCGTGTGCTGGAATCTATTCTTTGTGAAAGTGCAGAGATCACACCTGCCTACTGGTTTATGCATGTAAGGGATATCATTGATTTAAAGAAGTCTCACTTGTTTTTTTTAATGATGTGTTCTAGTCTAACTTTGTTTTTATTAATGTGTTCTGCCCCACAGGGGACAAACTGCACGTAGTACTCTGTCCCATCTTTCTGTGTGCTAAGGCTAGCTGTGTTGTTGGTCAGGTCGCTCCTCCTCTCTTCACGGCCATCCAACAACGCAGTAGCAAGGGGATAGGTGCTTCAATAGGCAATCCTTGTCTTTACCTCCAAGGCAATGCCCGGGACAAACACCGTCATGAGGAATTCAGGGGGAGGGTGGGGGTGCAAACTAAAATGTTCCAGGAATGCTTACATCAGAGCAGAGCACATCACAGTTCACAGGTGTTGTTCGTAGGAAGGGGAGGCTGGGGAATTAGGACTAGGTCTCAGGGAAGGTAAGCTCCTCTTGATGATGTCAGTGCGTAACACAAGTGTGCTTCACAAGCCTGCTCGCTACACAAGGGGTGGTGGCAGCTGTGCTCTGCAATGCCCCACAACCCCAAATCAGCCACCTTTAGGGTGAAGAGCAAAAAAATTTATACTAAATAAAGAAAAAAGGGGTTTTCCGCCAAGAAACATTTGCCAATCATACAAATCAACATTTCAAGGTATTTGGTCATGCTTTTGTGGATCACTATTTGTTTTCTAAATGATCATGAGAATTCTTTAAAATAGTAATAAAAAGAACTTAAAGAATTAAATTAAAATTAAATTAAAAGTTACTGAGCCTCTCCAGTCACTTACGAGCTATTAAGTATCTGGAACTTTTCCCCTTTCTGAAAACTTAGGTCATCTTCCGTTCTTGCTTCGTAGTCATAAAGCGCTACAAAAAGCGTTACTCCTAAGGGGACAGAGCAAATCACATATTAAGTGGCAGTAGAACTCGCATGTTAAACAGCCCCAACACAAACCAGCCTGCACAGCCACAAAACAAGCCAATCTGATTGAATCCATATGCTTTGGTTTATGGAGGTCTTTGCCAGTTTTTGAGAAGCCATGTAATAAAAATGATTCCTTTTTTTATAGACAGGGACATTTTAGTGTGGAGAGCTTGGAATGTTTGACCACATTACTTTAGAAAAAATGATGAAGTTATTCAGTGTGTGTTAATTTGTTTAACATTTCAATAAAAACAACTGTATCATATTGAAACCATTTCAATTTTTGGTTATTCTAAATGTCCTGTTCAATGTCATGCTTTGGCAGCATAAACGATTGCAAATATTTTAGAAGGTAATAGACCTCATGTATAAAATGTGGATGAAAAGAAATTGGAGGTGTTGGCCATAGCAAAGAATCAGATGTTTATTTTTGTTTTATTATTCTACTATTATAACTGATTGTTTCTAAAGGAAACACATCTGTTTAGTTGTCATCCACCTTTTATTCTTAAAGTGACACTAAACTCAGGAGATAAATCTTAAAAATGCATTCAAGTACCTTAACTATTAACAAAAATGTATGTTATTTGTGTATCACTCAGCTGTAGATCCTCAAATCATCTCTGAATTCATGCTGACACTGTCCTTCCTTCCGGAGGGTGGCTACTTTTGTTTCCTGTGTGTGTTGTAAAGTAGTCACCGCTCCAAGTTCGCACCCAGGATGGACTACAATCTCACATTTAGTTTACTCATTTGTATTCAGATTGTAGTCCATCATGGGAGCGAGCTTGGAGCGTTGGCTACTTTACAACACAGACAGGGACCATGGGGAACAAAAGTAGCCACACTCCAGAAGGAAGGACAGTGTCAGCATGAATTCAGAGATGATTTGAGGATCTACAGCCAAGTGACACACAAATAAGATAATTTTTTTAATACTTAAGGTACTTGAATCTATTTTTAAGATTTAACTCCTGAGTTTAGTGTCAGTTTAAAACCTGCTTTTTTTTTTACAGCATTTAGATCAACCCATATTCTTCTTTCCATGCCATTGTGTTGTTTTTACAATTACAGGTCAACATTGCACTTGAAGGATAGAAAGCTATTAACCGAAATGGACACTCATCCATTTATGGAAGAGAACATACAGTATTTGTTGCAAATATAGCACTAAAGCCCCAAAATATGGGGGAATACAGGTACTACATTCTCTGTAAGTATACAGCAGGAGCTGTTCTCACTCTTACTGATGGTGGATGCTCCTCCAATAGTTGAAGTGGTGAGGGCAGGACTCAGACAATGCTGTGCTTCAGAATGGGAGCACATAGCACAGGGTGACAATGTTCTCCTGCATAGAGTGTGCATTGTCACCCTATGGCAGGGAGTATACCCACATGTGCTTACAGGCATGATCATCAGATATAACAACAGTAAATGCAATTTCTAGGCATCACCATGTGCAATTGAGGGTAAACAGATTTCAACTTTTCTTGTTACTGGGTTTACATACACTTTAAGTACAGTAGCCAACATCCTGCACTCAGACCAGATGTAAAAATAAAGTTTATTGGTTGCCATGGGTTACTTTAGCCTCCTTTACCGAATATGGCTGATTGCTTCAGTTGACTGAGTTCATTTATTGAAAAATAACACCATTTATAAATCCATCACATTTGAATGGAAGAGCAACAGCCCCACTTTCAAAAATGAGATCAGGGATCCTGGCAAAATGACAGGGATGTGGAAATGAGGACATTCCTCTAGTCATCCCTCCTATTGCATGGAGGGGTTTCAAACAGAATTCCAATTTTATAAGATTCTATGACAAATTATACAGAAGAAAATATTCCATAAAGAGCAATCTGTCACAAGACTAGTCAAAGGACAGCATGCATTGATATATGGAAAACAATCATTTGCAAGTTAGTGTGACAATAACATATGACTGGAATCAAGCTCATCTTGAGCATTTGTACTTTTTTCAGAAACCACAAGAATATTACAAATTGTATGTTATCTAGATTAAAGGAAAATACATTTGTTTACTGAATTGTCTAACATTACAAAAATGCTGTGCCTCCTCCAGTAACGGCTTTGGAACATCTGTGCACATGTGGAGATTTTTACATTTATCTACAGGCATGCATTACAAACCGGCCTTTTTCCTCTTCACTGGTAGCACAGACTGCACGCTATCACACTGTTTGTCCCAATTACAAGCTGGACCTAAAAGGTGTGTGTTCCTAACTTTTCCTATCAACTTTTTGCTGCTGAAGAAACATTAAAACGTATCTAAAGCCAGAAGCAAATTTCTAATAAATTGCAGAATTCCAATCCTTCAGATAAGGAGGCTGCATTAGTTCTCTTATTTATGTCTGTTATTTTTCAACTTCCTTTAAAGAAGAAATATGAGATGAGTAAAATATACTCTTCCCAATAGTTAGAGCTGACGTGTGACACTGCAGCTGTCATACTTCGCATCTATAGATTGAGAACTGAGCGATCACATACCACTGATCGCTCAGTTCACGATCTTCTCCCTGCAGAGAATGATGACTGTCAGTCACAGCTCCCTGCAGGGATTCCCCCCCTCCCCTCTCTGTTCCTCCAGCGCTGACTGGAGAGACAGAAGGGGAGGTGGCCAGCACAGCTGGCTCTAGTTCTCTTTTAACAGACCAAGATGCCCGCAAAAGTGGTAGCTAGAGGGTTGAGACAAACCATTTACACTGACAGGGGTGTTTGCAATGGCCAGATTTAATGCATCTATATAAAACCTTTATATCAAAAGGAAAAAAATAAACCTGTTGCTGTAACTGCTAAAAAAAGTGTTAGCTGGCGTTCTGCTTTAATTTGTCAGTCAAGTCTATCTCAATTTGCTAGTGCGTCTAACACTGCCCTCTCCATAGGGTAACAGTGGTGCAGTCCATGGGTAGCTCCATTGCTCCTCCATAGATTGGAGCCACCCTAAGACAAGAAATGTGTTACTGATCGGACCACTAGGCTAAAAAAAAGGGGAAAAAATTTAAACCAGTGAAACTGTTTATCAGAGGCTACGTCTACAGATCTTGTTTTATGATAGAGCCACCCTGGTTTCAGTTGGCTAGTTTTACTATGGGGTCTATTCACTAAGCTGCCGTAGGCAGCCGAGTGAAAGACCGACCTGAAGTGAAGTGAGCCGAACGCTGTTCGGCTATTCACTTCAGGCTGGTACGGCTGAAATCAGCCGTACATCGGGTGGCATCACGTGGCTTCGGGTCGGCCGAACATGCTCAGGATGTTCGGCCGACCCAAAGTGCAGGAGGAGTTCGACTCAGCCGATCCAACATCTGGATCGGCTAAGCCGAACCTCCGGCAGGCTACTCGCTGCTGTTCTGTCTATTCTTATAGATGCCGAACAGCAGTGAGTGAATGGAAGTGAGCAGTGGCTCGGCTGTTCTGCTCGGTCCCTCAGAGGGACCGAGCAGAACAGAAAAATAGTTTAAAAAGTACAAAAAAATAAATAGGAAACGATTGTGCAGAGCTAGCAATGACAGCTAGCTCCGCCCAACAGTTTTCTATTGGCCAGCGGTTCTGCTGCCGTCCAAAAAAAATAAAAATAAAAAAAAAACTCACCCAGGCGCTCTGGGAGTCTCGCGCTCCCGGCTGCCCAGGAGAGAAACACTGCTTTTTCTTTTTTTTTTTCTTTATTCTGACACGGAGCCGTGTAACAATAGAAAAAAATTAATACATTTGACCATAGGAATGCATTGCTAGATTCCTATTGGCTATTTCAATTTGCAATAGCCAATAGTAAACTAGCATTGTACCCGCCCT